TAGCAACTTTTTATTTTCTCTTTGACGTTGAACGATCTGTTGTAAACTGCCGCTCGCAATGCGACGAGCATGTTCGACGGAAAATTTAGATATCTGTCAATTGCTACGCCGAATCGCGACAGTCTCTTGCCACAAGGTTGTTTGATACATAAACGAAAGCGGATAAATACCTTTTCTTAGAAAAAGGCAAAAACCGCTTTCTGCCCGACGCGACGGTCTGAACGGCCTAAAACGATATCCAGAACTTTTGCTTCGTTTCTTATCGAAACTGTTGGAAGTACGATCGGTAGTTTAGGATAGAACGTCCGAAGCGCAACGCTAAAGAGAAAAAAATCACAGAAATTGTTTTTGGATAATCGTTCACGCGTTTTTACGTGTTTACTCATTGTAATTACATCAGGAAATTAGTGAAACGTGACCATGAAAAATAATAGTATAATAGTGAAAAATAATAGTAAAAATAATAATAAAATAATATTTTCAGTGAAGTAGAATTATTTTAATACAGTGGCTGATCCTATTTTAATTGTTTATATATTTTGTGTAAGTTTAACGTTAAAGAAATTTCATTTGTTTAGTTTCGGTTAATTACACATAACTAATTCTGTTTCTTATACGTAAGATATGAATACGTAAATATTGTTTTTAATCGATGATTAGAACCGCGCCACGCTTATACCTGCGACGCTTACAATAATTATTGAGAAATCAATAAACGGCATATGAAGAAGTATATAATGTCCGAAATATTGTAAAAGATTGTAAAAATGATGATATTTTCAATAAAAATGCTGATTGTCCCTCTTCACAGGAGGTGATTTTAAATTATATAATAAACTGCTACAAACTGCTGCTAATAAACATTGCTACAAACAACAAATTGTAAAAACAGGTATTCTCTATTTTAGTCAATAGTTTACGTACACAATGTTGCAAAAAAATTGTTCAATATTTAACACAAAAATTTGAAAAAAAAAACTACAAATGTTCAAAATATTACTTAAACTGTTGAGAGGTGTAATGCTTCTTTCCCACCTATATATATATATGTGTGTGTGTATGTGTGTGAAAGTGTGGTGCCATTTGAGAGTGTGTGAGAAAACAAAGGAGAGTAAGAAAAAAAAGAGTATCGAAAAGGAACGCGTGAGAATATTAAACGAAGAGTATTACGGTCTGATTAATTTCCATTATATTAATATTGTTAACTATAAAGATTATAACACAAATATATATCTCTAATAGAAGGAACTAAGGTGTAGATTATTTGAACTAGAAACCACAACATAAACAAATAAAAGTTATTAGATTTTTTTTGCGCACAAAAATTCACTATTAAAAGACCAAAAATTAAAAAAATGTTTTGCAATTATCTCCATTAATTCCGGAGATATTCCCAAAGGTATGATTTCAGCCCTCAACTTTGAGGGCTATTTTCACCCCTTCAATGTGAACAATAGCCGATAAAAAAAATACGTGTCAAATATTTTTTTGAGAATTATCTATCACATAAGTTTCATTAAAGTCAGTGTGTCGCGGTTCGAATGTTACCTTGTTAATGATTAATAATTCCATTATGATTAAATTTATCTACAATAACTTTATTTTTATTATATTTTTATTTACATGAAAGCGTTCATGTTTCATTAAAATACATTTGACAAGATTTAGAAATTACGATAATTACTATATAGCTAATTTTATAATCATAATAAATTTCATATTAATAATACGGATAAATACCTTTCTTTATTCCTCAACATATTTTATTTCATCAACAATAAATATTTTTAAGGGTAATATTTTGTACTTATTTCTCAATAACAGTACCTATTTAAGAATAAACCAGTTACCTTTTATAAAATGTCGTTTCTAAATTTCACCTCTGTTTAGAATATCAGCACATGCGCATTACGATCAGCAACCGTAGTAACCTATGTGTATAAATATATACATATATCGATATTTGTGTATTTTCATCCTTGCTAGCGAAGCTTACAAGATGCTTCGCTAGCATCTGCTAGCGATGCTTTCATCCCTGCTAGCGATGCTTACAAGAAAGATAGTGTCTCCAACATGATATAACAAGGTTGTAAACCTTTTTGAAAGCTAAAATGTACAAAATTGTATCATAAAAAGTGCAGATTAGTGGTTCTTCACTGTCGAAAAATTATTTGGGAATTAATGTGTTATGTGCATTAGTATCGTCAGTATAATAGGTGTACATACGCTATGTGCACGACTTTTTTGTTCTTGAATTGCTTAATAATAGAATTCAAATTCTTGACATGTAGAATATAGTCGAAGTGTAAGGTAAAACATAAATAGCTATGATTATGTTCGTGCAATATTGAGCTAGAAACTATATTAGGATAGTTAAAAATTCTACATATTCCAAATGAACTAAATTTTCCTAATTAATATTAAAATGATAATGGGTATTCATTTATATCGACTAAAACAATATGTAAGATATTTATTTAATTTAATATTATGAAGTTGTAAATAATACTTACATTATTTATATTGTCGCTAAAGATGATATTTTTCATGCGAATGCATCACACATATAATATTTTGTGATAAGTGGTATTATACATAATCCTATAACCAAATGCAGTATACTAATCTAATAGACTCAATTTCAATGACCACCGTTAGGCAAAGGGTTTATTTTATGACTTTGTTATTACGTATCTGCATTAGCACCGCACTAACAATGTACAAGATGTCCACCTAACTTAAGCGTCTGGAATATCTTGCTTATCTTTTATGATAAAAAAAATATCAAAGGAAAATACTATTTTGTTCAAAAAGACAAATATTGTGGGGGTTACGTAATTTTTCTGAAAGGTATTTTTCCCGAAAGTCCGAGATCATTATATATAATACTATGACCTATTAACCTTGAGTACAAATAAACCATGAAAAATAAGCAACTAATGGAGAAAGTGGAATAACTAATGGAAAGATTAACAGAGGAAATTTTGTAGTAGCAAATGCTGAAAATGATGGTCTGCATATTCACCAAATCTTACAACTTTAGACATTTTCTCTGGGATGCAATTAATTCAACAGTTTATAACAATATTCATCAATGAACAAGTAATAATTGTTGGAAACATGTTCATTCATCGTTTAGAGATTTGTACTGAAACTGCTAGACATTATTTTAGACGTTTGCTGCTACAATAAAATGTACTCAGTTAATCGATTATTCAATCGATTATTTCACTCTGTCACACTGATTTTTTATACTTAATGTCACATGAAGATCGTAATATTATGAATTATCTTGCCCTCAGCTATCATGTCATGATGATGAAAATATATTGCCTTATTTTAAAAAGCTTTGATGCCCTTGTAATCTCATAAAAAGTGACCTCGAAAAAAATTTAACTATCATATTTGTCTCATCGAAGAAAAGAGTATTTGCTTCTGACATTCTTCTTTACCATTAAAAATAAGTAATATATTCAAGATATTCAAGTCAGTTAAGACATTCTATATAGCATTATTACGTATTGTCAATTTATCAAAATAATAAGTGCATTTTACACAGCTCTGTTGGCTTTACGTAGCTGTCTCATCACTTGTTCCTTTCATCAGTCATGTATATGGTGAACGAAAAGCTTATCAACTCCTATTATACTTCACGAATCTCAGTACATGAACCATTTTGATCACCAAATATGTAAACTTAATATGCTGCCAGTCACAATCACAAACTCTAAATAAACGAAAATTGGTCTTTTGACACTGCTGTTCTGACGATAAATTGACAATACATACTTATGACACATAGGTAGTACTGTTACTGATAAAAAAGTGCAGCAGATGCCGACCTACCAGTTCTTGAAAAATCACGCACCTTTTCTTTCCCTTTAGGTATGTGAAATCTAAATAGTTTCAAAAAAATAAAATTATCATTTAAAATCAATTGGTTATATTGCATCTTTCATCCTTGAATAATTAATATTCAATGTACTTAGAATAAATTCGTGCTGTACTGCATCGTTTATTTTATAATAGGTAATACCCTTATCAAAATATATATGTTATTGAATAACAAATATTTCTAAAAACAATGAAAAAAAGAGTCAAACTTATAAAATATATTGCGCGATCTGTGACAGCATGGACCTAGGATTTAAAATGTCCGATTACAAAGCTCCATCTTACACAAGGAGTACGAATCAATCTGTCTATAGCAGAGAAATCGTGATAAACAATAATTTGCAATTGGCGGAGTAGTACGCATGCACTACGGTTTATAATAATTGGAACTGTATATTACTTTCATGAAATAAAACTTAATATGAATCCTTAAAATGTGTCATAATCTAATTGAAATTAAAAAAATTAATAATTACTGATAATGCAATAATCTATAATGTCGAAAGACGAAATGTATAGATGTTCAAATTGTCGAACTGGCAAGTTATCTTCATGTATGATTTAATAACATAACAAAATTCATTAGCAAATCACCAGTCGCCCGTTGCCGTATACAGACACAGTATCATGTTTTCTCCTCACTGATGCACACTTAGGCCTTGTAGTTTAGTCCATTCATATATTCCTATATCCATACATGAAAGGCATTGAATTCAACATAAGAGAGAAAAAACAAACAAGAGTACTTTCGATATTTCTATGATGTGCGAATGAGAAAGCACCACTACTAAACTATCTCCGTCATTTGGGTGTTAAAATAACATTGGTTTCTCGTTTATGCTAGTTTGTCACTACATTTTTCTACATAATTAAAAGAACATCGGTTATATGATAAAAATACAAGTTCTATGCTCAAACCTGTAAATAAAACTTTAACCATAACTATAAATGGAAAGTATTAAAAATAAATATTAATATACAGATATACTTATATTTTTATAATTACACTGCTATTACAAATTTATTCTATGAATAAAGATATAGATATTAGCAAATAATAACTGTAGTTGTTGAAAAAAACATGAAATTTTAAGTAGAAAACCGCATTTCCAGCAAAATGAATTTATTCCATAGATTACGTTACAAAATATTACATCCCATTTACTCCACGCTGGGAAACGCTGTTGCAAGAAACTATTTTAATCCGTTATCAACTCCATTGATTAAAATAGAGATGCCTTGACATTTTGCCTATTTTTGACTTTTTCTATACTGCTTACAAATTTCTTTCCCCTATATAAAAACACTGTGAATAGGTGGAAAAGTACTATCTCTTACCAAAAACTTCATATTATTTTACTAATCAATATCTATATAAATTCATTGAATTTATTTCTGTTAAGTAAAAATATGCGAACATAATAGGACAATGAAAACTGTGTTATTAATATACTATATCATATTTCCAATACTATATCTTGTACACAATTACTGTTACGCAATGTTAATAAAAGAATAAGATCATTTTAGCCGTTTTAAAGTAAACTCTACCTGTTAGCAAATGCAACAAAGTAAAAAACTTTATCTGTAGAAATTTTTGATTTCTATAACAGCTTTCCTTTTATTTCTTAATAACTTACTCATTTAGCATTATTATAAGGTTTGTCAAATATTTATAATGTATGTATAGTGATACTTCATTTATGCATTGCTTTTGCAACTCGTATTACGTGACTTGTCAATTACAACTGTTAGTTGCATGAAATAGCTGTAAAAGAAACAGTAAGATACAATTTATCTCTTTCCCTTTTTCAATTCACAATTCGATTTATGTGAATTCGCGTTGTAAAATTACCTTTTTACTGAACACTTTTAAGCCTCAGGTGTAGCTAAGGGAGCTTCCTTCTTTTCATCAATTACAACAGCTTCTTTTTTATCACCAACTGCTTTATCATTTTCATCCACTTCTTTTTTTGGAGCAACCTTAAATTTAGTACATGTAAATTGAACAATATTACACGGACATTCCACCAATACACTGTGTTGTAATTATTTTAACTAAAATAATTTTATACACAGTGCAAATAATATATAAACAAAAATAATTTATAAGAAACTGTTATTAAAAAAAAATTAAAAATAACAAAATAACCTTGTTTAAAATAAAACAATAAATTTATTAATAGTTAAATTAATTATATTTCCATAATTTATATTTGCTAAATGGGTAAAAAAAAATAAATTTTATGCTATACAAGAATGTCTCAGAATTAATGTTTAAAAAAATATATATCTACAACACAATTATAATACTAATCGAGTGCTTTAATTGTACGTTTTTACATAAGATAAATGTCTAAATTAGAGAATTTCCTCTTATTTACTAAATTTAATAAAGTTGCATTTACAGAAGAGAATTTTTGTGCATCTATGAAAACAAATCATCGTTTTTCATTAATTGTTTAGATAAGTATTATTCCAGTGTTGTTTACGTCAATTCCTTGATATAATATTAGCCCAGAACTTTAACAATATACATTTGGCATAGTGATTATAAATGCAGTGTATACGTTATATAATTACAACTTATTTTCTGTGCAATGTAAAAGAACACTTAAACATGGTATTCAGTCAAAGGTGAATTGAATATAGTTGTACAAACTCCCCCTTCCTCTGATTTAAACTGTTTGAAATATTTTTATGGTAATATTTAAAAAGCACAGTATACTCTTCGCCGATAAATAACTCAAAAGAATTATGTAACCGAAACTACCACGCTTGTCAAATAGTTTGACAGAGGTATAAAACTTTCGAAAAAGTTTTGGACTCTGTCAGAAGGTGTCAAGCGTTCAGGAAAGTGAAAGGTGGACGTATGAAATACTATCTATGTATGTATACAATACACCCAATAGTCAGTTAATCATGACGCTAACATATAAAATTGCTTATACTTCAGACCATTCGACTTGTTTACTAAAGTATTTTTACTCAATACAGTGTATCCTATATACTGTATAAGTATTAAATAATTTCTTTTTTAACACTCTATACATATTCTTGTGAATTTTATTCAGGTATAGTGCTGACATTATTTGACACAACTTCGAACGGGTTTTTGATACTTATATGACTTCAATTCAAATCCGGAACTTTCATTAAAAAGAGATATCTAATCATAAGATTGAAAAAACAGTAATTATTTAGAATTTTTCTTCAAAAATTGGAAGATATTTCTGAAAAAAAGTTTCCATTTAAAACATATTTTCAAATATTGATGATATTTCTTACAAGCTTTAACAAGCGATAAAGTTGTGGTATTTCTTCTGGAACATATAAACGCGGTTTGTGGTTATCATTGGAGTTCAAAGTCTTTAAAATTTTAAATTGAGAACTTCAAAAGATTTATTAAATATACTATATTATCTAGTTTTTTGAAACATTAACTACAAAAGACAAAATGTCAGTAGCTTGAATATGAAATTGCGATTTTTCAAAAATATTCTTTATTAATAAACCGCTTCTTTATGAATAGAACACAGAAATATATGATAAAAATACAAAATGCTTTGTTCACTCTTCTATAATTTACTACGCTAAATAAATCTTTCCGCATTTTTAATTTCAAATTTTCCAAGCCAAAACATCAGTGATCATTACAGAACGCGAGAATTTCAGGGGAAATGTTCGGAAGTGTATTTATTATTCGCGAATATTTTAAAAGAGTTTATGAAGCAGCTCTTACACTTTTTGATTACTAATTCCTCAATTCTTTAGTTAGACACGGCGCCTTAATCGCAGGTTTCATTGTTCAGACGTCAATAATTGATTTATAATGCACGAATTGCGCAGTAATTATTAACAAAATGTTGTAGTATCATCGTATGATAGGGAAGAAATGTATTTACCACTTACTGGTAACATTTGATATCTTATACTAGTCTAACTCCTGCCAAAAGTTGAAGTTTAGCAGTCGAAGTTGTACATACTTAAGGTCCTTCAGGAACTGCCAATAATCGAAGTTATGCGTATATGACACTTGTCATAAAATTGTTCAAATTTAAAGATACATATCAATGTGACAAAGCTTATATGATAATGCAATAAATTTATAATACACTAACATTTTATGACACTAAATAAAAAAATAAGTATAATTTTTACAACCGATGAATTATTTATCGGTTATTAACATAATCGATCTCTTCTGCACACGAATTTCATAGCTCGAACAAAACTTTAGGGACATCGGTTGACATTTTTATTCTTATTTTAATATACCTAAAACAGTTTGTTATGTGACAAAATCGCAGCCAGAAAGTGTTTATTTTTTATTTTCTATTATAAAATGCCCAAATATTTCAAATTCACTGCACCGACATATAAATTCTATTACACTGATATATAAAATTCTCTTAGCACATTGATGTGAGGATAATTTTTTGAAACCTATCCTATGTGCTTACCGTGATTCTAGTCTACATAAAAGCATATCTATATTGCCAATATCCACGGTGCGTTTTATAGCGATAAATCTATAGCCTTCGGTATTAAAGTATTAAAATACTTTACATGATTTTGTTAGACACTTTTTGAAAATAGAATTGAATAAAATAACCAAGTATATGTACATGTACACCAATTTTGGTAAAATTTGAACCTCGTTTATATATAATATACAGAAATTCAAGTCTATTCATAAAATTTTGGAAAAGCAGGGATGTATAACTAAAAAGTACATTTCTGGACAAGTTTTTTACCTTTTATCATGAATTCTGAGGCACCCTATAGATGTATTATATGTACTTTTATATATATAAATCAATTCTTATAGCATTATGACGCAATACTTTGTTCATCTTTGATATCTTAAAAATTCAGTAAAAAAACATATAGCCTACTTATCAGTGAGATGTCAATAATGCCATAAAAAAGCACTTTATTTTCAATCTTTTGTCAATAGAATTTGAAGTTTTGATCTAAAGAAGAACCAAACACAATATTGTAAAATTCATTTACATTGATTGGGCTTGTGAATATTCTTTCTTTGCTTGTTGCCCTTTTCTACATCTATTTAACAATTATTGGCAAAATATAAAACGTTTGAAATTTAGTTTGGCTGTTTATTAAGCGACCTAAAAATCTTACATTTTTAGATGGAAAAAGGCCGCGTAATGAGCAGTGAAGACACAGAAAATAATTGATTTGATTGACGACTTTAATGAATGTAGAAAAAGGCAACAAACGAACTTGGAAGAATCCCTCGTGACAAAGCTTGAAGCTCAATGAATAAATTTGAATTTGAATATTGGTGAAACAATATTACTTCAACAATCAAATTTTGTTATTTCTGATTCTTTTGTTTAATAAAACTATTGTTGATATATTTATAAAATTTCTCTAATTAAAATAAGACACAAAACTTTGAATCGCATTTATTTATTTTGTTTGCAAAAAAAATACGTTATTACTTATTAAATAAGCAAACATGATTTGGTCTCATTTGAATCAGTAAAACTTTACAATTATAGTAGTAAGAATTTCATCAGTAGTTAACATGCATATTTTTCCTGTAATTACTATAATATAATATTTGTACTATACATAATATTTAAAAAAAATCATAAAATTTAAATTATTTCCTATTTCATACCAAAAAACTAAATGAAAATTACAAAATTATTAAAAAGTTTTAGACCAGCATAATATCCTAAACATAAATTTTATATTTCTGAATTCATTGGAATCAATTTTTATTACAAATGAATTTTATATCTGTAATAACAATATTTACATGCACTACATTTTATGCACATTTCACAATTTCTTATATAACATGTATAATTCTAAATTATTATTATTCATATTAACTTGTTACCTCCTCTTTACTAGCTTCATCAAAGTTTTCCACTAAATCAGGAACCTCATCATCTTCTTCCAGAGTTACTTTACCAACTGTACTACCAGAAACTGTACTTGCTAGTCGTTTTAATTGTGTGACACCTTCAGGACCCAACTGACTTATTATTCCCGGTAACATATCAGTTATTTGTTTGTTTTCGCCATGACCCGTAATGGCAAATGTATTTGCAGACAGGCTAGCCTGAGCTTTTGGATTATTAAAATGTATAACAGTACCATCATCCTTAATCATATTAACTTCCTCTATGCCAGGAATTGTATTCACAGACAACTTTTTCAAACAACTTTGCAGTTTTTTATCATCTGTAGCAGCCGTTGCATGTACAACCTGGAAACATAATAAATGTAAGAAATAGGAAGAAAATTAAATGTTATAAATATTTCTTATGCAAATTATATTTTTTTGTGTATTAGCTTTTAAAAAATGAACAGTGATTCATAATTATTTAAAAGCTAACAATTGAATCTTACAAAAAACACCCTGGGAATACCCCCCAAATTTTAACACAGTTTTACAAGTTCATAAGTCATATGTGATTTAACATATCTGATTTAATTTTTCATAACAAGTTATGAATTATTTTATGTATGGTTCTATGTATAAATGAGTGATAGTTTATAAGATACTTAGTATATGTTTTTAATATTGTTAAATATTGAAAAAATAAAATTTATTGTCGATTTTTTTTAAGTAAAGCCACCTTAGAAGCTGCAGGGCTTGCAACAAAAACTGACATTATTTTTCATGTTGCTGTATGCTGGCCAAATCAGTGATGGACACTAATAAATATGGTTAACTGTCTCCATTCTCAATATTATGGATGAAGATAGATAAGTTTGTAATACAGAAAGTCATGCAACATTTGAAAGTTTAAATTTTAAAGTTTAAATTTAAAAAATTTAAGTTTTTAAATTGTTATATTTGTAAATTTTAGAATTTCTAATTTCAAAAATTTGTTAATTTGAAAATATCTAAATTTTGAATTTGTATGTTTTAAGAGTATGTGATATTGGAAATTGCTAAGTTGGAAACTGTGATAGTTTATATATTTGTATGTATAAAAATTTTTTAATTTCTAAGTTCCTAAATTTGGGAATTTATGATTTTTAAAATTTCTAAACATTTTGATTTGAAAATTGGTGATTTGTAAAATAAAGCAAAAAAAATTTTTAAATTTGGAATTTGCAAGTTTGAAGGTTTTAGTTCCCAGTAGAAGTTTGTGAATGTAAAAAATTGGAATTAAAAATTTAAGATTGGAACCAAAAACAAATATACCATTTGCACAATTCTAAGAGTGACACAGAAACTGTATATTTATGTTCATAAACTATATACATATAATGCATAATAATAAGTTTGTAATTGATATTTTTAATTTAAAATATGTTTAAACTCTAACTTTAACAAAAAATAAACAAAATATTAGTAAAATTAAAAAATTATTAATAATGTGCACAAATTTAGCAACTTTATTATGCTTTCTAATAAAACGAAGGAGTGTATCTTATGTTTGTAGAAGAATTTAAAAGAAGTTCTGTGTAAACATTTAATGAGACCTATTATTTATAGAAGAATATAAAAAATCAGTACAAGATCTAAAAACTGATCTTTTATTACAGTGTCTGGAAAAGGGGACCCAATGTGGTTGAAAAACTTTTATGCCAATTGCGTGAATACTGTATTGTATTTATTTTAACTGTCCTGCTTTAGATTGTGACAAACTACTAATACTCTAAACCTTCAAGGCTTCTTAAATCAATGCTGTATATTATCTTTCATTGTCAGCGTATTTTAAATTAATACATAATTGTACTTTATGTTGAGTTTTTAATTCCACTATGGTTCATTCAGTCAGGAAAATAGAATAATATATGTATGTACACATATACCCATCCACACACATGAAGAATTACATGCATTGTTTGCATTTTAAAAAAAAAAAAAAGAAAAAAAATCTTATATATTTCAAGATATTTTAAATGAATTGTTTGTGGAGACAGATGAATACTTTCTGCAATTTTCCACTATGGCAAGATGCAGTGCAATTGACTCTTAAACAATATGAAGTTGATTATATGTGACATTCTTTTTGATGAAGATTTTTTCCTTATATATTTTTATATAGAAATTTCCACAAAACGATATTAAATAGTCCATATAATAAACCATGACTTTGTAACAAACTAAATAAGTAATAAACTTCTATGTAATAAATAAATTAATATATATGTATATATTATTATCATAATTTATAATTATATATCTACAAATATACATATGTGCGAATAATTTATGTATAAACTGAGACATATGTATCTACATATTTGCTTTTATAATTTCCTTAAAAACATTTCCTTTTCTCCAACATATTTTATTGTAAAAATACAATAAGAACATATAAACATAATTAGCAAAGTAAAGCTTGTAATCAATAATATATTATATGTAATTAAGTTTTGAGAAAGTTATCTATGCACTTAACCATGTATAATTATTTTATATTATCCTCTTACAATATCAAAGTTTGACTTTTTTTTTTAAATCATTTTTCAATTGATCATAACAAACCTTTCTGATAAAATTCTTATCCTTCTGATTGCCTTCTAATTATTCATACCTGTAAATAATAATAAAATCCCAAAATGTTATTTCAAAAAACAATCCCAAGTGTGCAATTTTGTAGGACATCTAAATGTTCATTGTAAAAGTTGATCCAATGATGTTGGCTAAATGTGATTAAAAGCAACTCACGCTCAAAAAAAAAAGACATCACAAGATATCATGTGTGGACAATATCTTCATGTGTTCAATGTGAATACATAACATGTATACTTAAAAAACTGTTTTCTTGCAAAAGTTAGATAATTACTAATTCCTAATTATTGGAAATTAGGAATTACCTAGCGTAACAGATTTATTATTCTGATAAAAAACTAGGCTATGCATGTCATGCATACTATAAATGAATATTTAAGATATTAAAGTATGAACATATCGGTTTATGTTAAAAAATTATGTCTGGTACTATCCCTTTTCTTATGTTGCTCTATTTTATTTATTCAACTGCGGTATGTATTAGAAAGTTTAACAACTAGTTTGCCTATTTGTGCCTACGAATTATGGACCACGAAGGACTAACGTTAACTTACAACATATTTTATGATAGTACTGTTAAAATAAAAATTTTACTAAAAATGCTCTACTGAATGAATTTTATGTACACATAACATACTTACACACATTAACCATTAATAATTTACAATGAGTAAGGCTCGAATATGATGATACATATAAACTATTTAATCCATTTTATATATATCTAATTCCATTGTTGCAAATAACAATATTATTATAGTTATTTTCGTTTTTGAAATCTGTAATATTTTCTGCTTAATATCTAATTAATTGGATGTATATAGTATTTTAAAAGATAAAAATATATCATTTTTCAACATCCCTTATAATTATATTGCACTGTTAAAGAATTAAAAATAAAACATCAAAAGTACAAAAATAGCATTACAAATATAAAATACATATGAACAATTTACTGAAACAATTAACACGTGTTTTATGGGCTCGAAGTTTTAATGTCATGCAAAAATGTTCGTAAACTTAGAAACATTCTTTAGATAAACCACAGATCATTTGACTAGTGTTCAAAATATATACATTCATAAACTCTTACATACTGAACATTGTAAGAATATTTTATAACTTTATGTTAACTTTCGAAATAAATCTAAATACCTTCTTCTTGCGTCGTGGTGTTCCCTTACCACCAATTCGCACTTGAGCTTGAAGCTTCTTCAACTTTTCAGGATTCATGTTAACCTGCTCTCACAATGATCACAAACTTCTGATCTTCAATCACCGAATTCGAACAGGTTGCAACAAATCTGACGTAAAATTTTTCACGATAAAATAAGTTAAATGCAACCGGCGAGCAAACACGTGCTCTCTGTTCGGCGAAAAGGTCGAGAAAATGGAAGTATACGCTTCTTTAGCTCTCTACGTCAGAGATAGCTTCCGGTGAGGAACACTTCCGTTCAAAACACTGCACTGTTTAATTGTCCCCAACATTGTAAATATTCAAAATAACTATAAATATGCATAATAAAACAAAATTTATTACAAAATATTTAACTAAGTTAAAACATTTTTTGAGTTAAAAAATTATTAATTTTTACAACAGGTCAAATGAACATGGAGGTTATGGAATCCATTATGTAAAAAAGACTTGAAAAAAACTTGATGTATGTATTATACAGAAGTGTTTTTACAATAAAATTCAAAATGATTGTATCATGAATTCATAAGAAAGAAAATATAATAACTTGTAAATAATAAAACACTTTATGTAATAAAGATAAATAATTTAGATTTTTTGAATATGAAATTCGAGTAAAGTTTTCAATTCATATTTGAGCATAACTCATGCTATTGCAATTTAGTTGTTAATTTTTTATCTTCTTAGACAAATGTAAGGAAAAATAAAATTATGGTTTATACCTATTGTTTGTATTTATATAAATTTTTATATCTTTATTTTATATACACTTGTCATATGAAGCTAGTTGTAATCATAAATAGAAATATAATATTATAGTAATAAGTTATAATTGTATACATAGGCACAAAATAATTTTACAAAAATATTAAAAAAAGTTTCAATTATTAATATTTTTTAATTTATAATTTACTATTTATAATTTCACCATTATTTTCAGTATATAAAACGAAACTGAATGTTTATTAAATGATGTAAACATATCTTTTTTTTACATAACATCTAATCTATTATATGTATGTATTTACAATATATCACATTTTTATAAAATGGTAATATGTATAATTTAGCTCACTTTTTGTAATAATATTAACATAATTGGTAATACATATATTTGTAATAAATTAACTAAAGAATATACTATTACTGTGAATTTATCTAATGAACAGTAGATATACTAATCTTACAATACAATGTAATATGATTACTGATATTATAAAATGAGTACATAATTTGTATTAAACAAATTTGTTATTTGTTATATCTATTTTTTACAAAAAACGTAAAATTAGATCAGTCTTAAATCTTTTACGATAAGAATTTAGAAATTATTTTAAAACAATAACTATTTGCTTGTTTCAACATTGTTTCTTAAAACTTCACAATTTCTTCATTATTTTTCCAATAAAACATTAAATTGCGTATTATTTTAAATATATTGAACATATCAGTAAATTATATATTAAATCATTTGTTTTTCTGCTAATGATACTTTTCTCTCAAACGGTAAGGAAATGAGAATTTCATAAGAAAGAAGAAAATACTATTCATTCAATAATTCTTTAATAATGCTATTTTTCTCCATTTTTGATTCGTCTCATTTTTTACGTGACCAAATTCAAATCTAATTCTAAGCTCACCAATTTTTGATATTGGTAAAATATCTGGTATCCATTCAATTAGAAATGGTGTTGGTTCAACTTGATTTGGTGAAGTATTTCCTGTAAAGTATACAAATATCTGATAAATTATGTTAAAAGTATACATTTATTTATATACTAAATATGTATTAAATTAAAATCTTTAAGTAAAGTTGATATTCAAAGGGTTATTCTACTTTAATGTTAAAAAATTAACACTTTCGCTACTACTATTGACGCACGCATTGTAATCTAGTGTGTACTGAATACCTATTACTATTTCGATGTTTCTACAAGAAACAGATACGTCGGAATTCCTGTAACCGATATTGTAAAAATAATTGATAAAGCTCGATGTATGCGTTAGCAATAACAAAAAAATTTATACAATCTTTTCCCAGTAAATACATCATATGTTAAAATCAATTTTTTAGTATATATTTATGTGCTTATATATAATATAAGCATATTATTAATTATATTAATTATATTATATATAATATAATATAAGTAATTTAACTGTATTTTGTTTTAACTTTTTCTCTTGCATCTTAAAGAAAATGCTCATAAAAATATTTAATTAGTTTGCAGACAGCAGAATGATATTTATATATTTAATTTACTATACATTTCAAATAATAAGATGACTAAAAGTATATCTTTTAAACTTTTTATTATACCTGCTCCATTTTGATATTCTTTAAGATAAATTATTATTATGCTACCTATAAAATAATTAATCACACTAATTAAAATTTATTTTAATTCGATAATATTGTTTTAAATAAGTTTGTACATCAAAATTACCTACACTATAAAACTAACTTTTATTTTCAACATGCCACTTTTTTGTTAAGAAATATTATAAAACATAATATAATAAAATCTTTTAAAAACTGTTTAATATTATTTATTATGTTTTATTTAGAGAAAAACTTCCTAACAATACTTTAATCTTCTTCTTGTTAAAGTAGAACAACCTCTTAACATTTAATAAATATAATTTTAATCCTTACCGACTTTCAAATACGTTTTTAATTCTAGAGGCTTAATCAATGCATTATTATTTGTTTTTTTATATCGATCTATTTCCGTTTCTTCTCGTTTGTACAATTCGTATGTGCCATCTGCATTTTGTACGAAACTTCTTGTAATTTCTAAAGGTATAAGAGGAGTTTCAAAAATACTCTTTACATGTAAAATGTTTGTAATTTGCCATGTATATTTAGTAAATGTACCTAAAGGTACACCATCTTTTCTAACAAATGCTGTTGTTGAATTTGGCAAACGTTTTTTTTTACCACCACAAGATATTCTTTCTCGCAAACAATCAAAGAATATCTGTGGTACATGAAAAACTAATGGATCTGGTTTTCCATCAAATTGAAAATGCATAGTCTGATTTATTCTTTCAGTTATTGATGCAAGCCATTTAATAAAAGGTAAGTTTATATTAGCTTCATCTAAATCTTCACAAGGATTTTGATATTTTTTAACAACATGTAATTTTGTTTTAGCTTTTCTTGGTTCTATTGAATTCAGATTATTCAAATTTATAATATTTGTACTTGTTGGTTTATCATTTCTTTTTCGTTTTGTTGAAATTGGCTGCTGTGAAGTATTATTTTCTGTGGTTGTTATATTTCCAGTATCATATGATACCAACACATTCTTATCTACCATTTTTACATGATTGGTATCAATTAATTTCATATTATGTACATCTAAAATAGTATTTGTATCAAGGATTTTTAAAGTTCCAGTATTCAGTATTTTTATGTTATTGTCATTTAAGATATACTGACTGTTGTTAAGCATATTATATTTAGAATCTATGCTTGCATGGTTATCTATTATTTTAACTGAATTTCCACTAACTTGTACACCACCTTGATTAATTACTTCTAAACTGTGCACCTAAATTTCGAAACAGCGTTAATATTTAATTTTTGCGTAACACAATTTATGTACATATAATCGCGTACATGTGCAAAATCAAACTTAATAAATTCTTACCTGTGGTATTATATTATTATCTTCTAATAATGAGCGATCACATTCTACTTCAAGATTTTCAACAATGTTATGTGGTAGAATTGTAGAATCCAAATTCATTGAATCTAAATCTAATCTATTTCCATCTAAACTTTGCACTGTCAATGTATCATCACGAAATATTAAAAGATGTGTATCTGTATCATGTGTAGTTAAACCATCAAGATCTACAATTTTTTAATGTAAATACTTCATTATTTTATATTTAATATTTTATTAAGAATCCTCTTACCAATGCCTACTATCCTATCTTGTTCATTATTCTGCAATACTGTTGATAATGGTTTTGGTATACTTAAATCGTTTTGATCTAAATTAATATAATAACTAAATTCTTCTGCTAATTTTGTATCACTAGCAAATGCACAAATACATGCATAAAAATGTACACAGCGTTTATTTTGGGAAGATTGAGCTATATCTGTTTTATCTTCTCCTGTCCTTGGTACTCCCTACATTAATTTTTCATCATTTTAAAATGTTATTGAACATACATAATATTAATACAATTTGACTAATATTATTTTTACTTACTTTAAAAGTAGAACAAGAACAGAAGTAGCGATGTTCAATTCTATCTTTTAATTTAGTTACAAACAACGAAAAATGAAGATAGCCTAATGGATGTTTAGGTGAAGCTTTGCACTTGACTGCCATAATATTTTTAGACACACGCTGGACTAAAGGACCTGAAGTTTCAGTAGCTAATAACCAAATTTCTTGTTTCATTTCATTATTTACATTTAAAGATGATAAAATAGAGTTTCTTAATGTTAATGGCTGTGCTTCTGCATAACATCTTAAGGCTGCTTGTATATGTTGACAGGAAGAAACAGGCACATCAGATGAATTCTTTTCCTACAAGAATAATCATATCTTTCAATAAAATTATAAATGTTCTAAACTTTGATATCATAAAAATATTTCTTTTATTATTGGTAAAACTTACGTGACATTTAAGAACACTAGTGTCAAAACTTCTTTCACAGCTATCGACAAAACAGAGTGCCGTAGATTGTGAAATAAGTGTTGTCATTTCATTAGAAATTGTTGTATTTATTAGTGGCAACTGAACAAATCCACGATAATCTGGGCCTTTATCACGTACGCGAACAGAAAAAACTTGAGCAGTTGTGCCTGTGATAAGTTTACAAGCTTCAGTTGATAGTTTCCTTTTTTCACCAGGTTCTTTAAATACTGCATCACAATATTTATTTTTACAACATAAGCCTCTGGATCCATTGTAAGTTCCACATTTTGGACATTTACGAACTCCACGTAATGTTGCTTTTCCTAAGTCTGATAAAAGTTTCCGTAGGCGATCTTCATTAGACATAGCTATCAAATATTATATTTGTTGTAATATATAATAGTATTTGACTTAATATGTGTAAATATTTAAATACAAATGAATGATACATATTCAAGTTGATTGTTGTTATATTCTATTAAATTTTCTGTTGAATATTATACATTATAAATGCTCTAATACTAATGAAAATATAAAAGTGAAACAAACTATAATTGTCTATTTCATAGTCATTTTGGTTTTAAGAACATCAATGTAAACAACAATAAATTGTGTATATTGAACTAAAATTCGATTAAAAATCATTACATAAATAATAAAAATAATATATATAAAATTGATGTTTTCGTATTCGGTGTTGGTCAAGTTTTTTTTACAAATTACATTTTTTTTGTTTAACATATTCTATGAACTGTAATTGATACATATATCAAAGATATAGCCCTTGCTATTCTTACCTTTTGCAGTGACAACAATGATTTTAGTAAAAGAATAAATTGATATGTCTTTCACCTGCAATTATATTGCAGAAAAGTTCGCTTTGGGTAGTAAATAAACAAGGTTCATTTCATAGACTGAGCGAGCATTTGCGAGCGAGCACAAACGAACATACGTCAGTGTTCGTCTTGCTAGTTTATTAGACAAGCACCAACAGACACTTCCCAGCACTTCCGCTATATTCATTGGTGAACGCTCGCTCGTAATAACTAAAGCGTTTCGTCTAATTTCAAAGAGTATAGAAATTCACTAAATCCAATGGTGTGAAGTTCGTCGAATGTTCTCTGTTTATTTACTGTGTTTTTGGTTAGAGAGACAAGGACGGTAAATATGATGTTACGAAAAAATACGCATTACGCTTGCCAAAACGCCTCTGCGAAGAAGTAATATTTATATATATATATATATATATATATATAACATATATACCTAGCGGACATAAAGTTTTGTAATTTTATATTCTCGTTGATCCTAGAATGTCCCGCTTACTGCATGAAAAATTTCTTTTCAATTTTAAAAAAATTCCTCAAACAAAAATTTAGTTTAACTATCATTTATATATTTTACGAATAGTAATTGATCAGGTCTATATATTTCACAGAACGAGTGAAAGCAGTTCCGATCGACATAACATATATGTACATATGTCTAAACTTTTTATGACAGGAAAGAGTTATATAATTTTAATTCACAATTTTAATTTAATATGAATTTTTATATTGATAAAATTGAGTAAATATTATTTTGATTTTATATATTTGTTACATTATTATTTTTTCTTACTATTTCTTAATTTTTTCCCATCGTGTATATGATCACAAAGGTAGAAATAGACTGTAGAAGGGCATTCTCATGATAGAAACTTCCTAGCTGCGTAAAACGCTGTCTAGTTAGTTTCTATGGGTCTATCCAAAACGATCGAGGCGCCCTCATAGAGTGCAAGCGAATGGTGTGAAGTTCGTCGAATGTTCTCTGTCTATTTACTGTGTTTTTGCAATTTTGTCCAAAATAATTTTATGCACTGAAAACTAACATTTCTTATAGAAGAAAATTTTTCACGTCCCATTTTTCCAAAATCGGCCCGCGGACCGACCTAGATTAAACTTCTGAGAGTAGTATGCAAAAGAAATTATGTCGAAATATTACTTCTTCGCAGAGGCGTTTTGGCAAGCGTAATGCGTATTTTTTCGTAACATCATATTTACCGTCCTTGTCTCTCTAACCAAAAACACAGTAAATAGACAGAGAACATTGTACGAGTTCACACCATTCGCTTGCACTCTATGAGGGCGCCTCGATCGTTTTGGATAGACCCATAGAAACTAACTAGACAGCGTTTTACGCAGCTAGGAAGTTTCTATCATGAGAATGCCCTTCTACAGTCTATTTCTACCTTTGTGATCATATACACGATGGGAAAAAATTAAGAAATAGTAAGAAAAAATAATAATGTAACAAATATATAAAATCAAAATAATATTTACTCAATTTTATCAATATAAAAATTCATATTAAATTAAAATTGTGAATTAAAATTATATAACTCTTTCCTGTCATAAAAAGTTTAGACATATGTACATATATGTTATGTCGATCGGAACTGCTTTCACTCGTTCTGTGAAATATATAGACCTGATCAATTACTATTCGTAAAATATATAAATGATAGTTAAACTAAATTTTTGTTTGAGGAATTTTTTTAAAATTGAAAAGAAATTTTTCATGCAGTAAGCGGGACATTCTAGGATCAACGAGAATATAAAATTACAAAACTTTATGTCCGCTAGGTATATATGTTATATATATATATATATATATATATATAAAATGCACTTGCGTATAAGCATAGATTATAGAATGTGTAGAATTAAACTCGGTTCACATGTGCAGAATGAATGAAAATTTGCAGTTGAGAAGGGTTGGATGAGATCGGTGGAGAGACACCTGAGACAGGGGGAATATAAGGGAAGAAAATATTACAAATCGGAATGGAACAATGTGGGTAAGGACTTCCCGTGGTTTAGGGGTTTGGGAGATTTGGGGAGGGATGCTATATGTACGTTAAGTAGAATTAGAGCGGACCATTATAATTTAAAATGGTCTTTGTTCAGAAAATATATGGTGGAAAATCCATATTGCGAGAGCTGTGACAGAATAGAAGATATAGAACATGTGATGTGGGAGTGTGAAAAGTATGAGAGAGAGAGAGAAGGAATGGAAAGTAAAATGCGAAAAAGCGGAATAGAAAGAGGAACAGAGTTCCATGAATGTAAAAGGATGGGAGAAGCGAGGCCTTTAAGGCTTATTGGAGCGTTTTTAAAAAAATGCGGGATAAAAATGTAAAAAAGCGTGTATATAGGGTGATAGATGGCGCTGTTGATGGGCGGTAGTCCTAGTGATATGTAGGTTCCTATGTACGGGCAAATTGAGCCCCTACGGGGCTCAAGCGCCCTCTTCCTTTGTGGAGAAAATAAAAAACTAAACTAAACTAAACTAAAATTTGCAGTTAGCGCCCTCTTCCTTTGTGGAGAAAATAAAAAACTAAACTAAACTAAAATTTGCAGTCTAATGCGGAATTAGAGCGTCAGAGCGTCATCGGGTTAATATATAGACTACGTTTCCATCGAGGGTCCAAATCGGGTCAGAGTCGGGTTAGAGTCGGGGTGGGGTCAGCGC